TCATCATCACCATGTCTGGAGAATGGGATAGTAGGAAAGTTGAATCAGTTTTTTTAAGGAAGAATGCTGCTACCCAATCCATCATACCCTAATTTCTCATCATCTGCCATCTGATAGAATCATCTGGAAGAGCTTCAAATCGGGAGTGTATGAGGTTAAGTCAGGCTACAAGTTTTTCATGTCAAAACAAACTTCATCTTCAGGTCAGCACTGGAACTGGAATCTCATATGGAAATGCAAACTTCCTATGAGGTTCCAGCTTTTCATATAGAAGGCATGGTGGAATGGTATTGCCACAAAAGACAAATGGCATTACATTGCTAAAGAAGAGAGAAAGTGCCCTCTGTGCAAGATAAATATAGAAACTTGGCAACACCTGTTCTTCGAGTGTCCTTATGCCAAAGCAGTATGGCTATCAGCTTGTCTAGCAATAAACCCAAAACTCATAAAATATAAGGAACCTAATATATTTATTTAGGAGTGGATTGGTTCCAAATTAAACTATCTAAGCAAGGAAGAAAAACAAGGTTTCTTTGCAAAGTTCCTTATACTGTTCAGATTGATATGGGATATGAGGAATGCAGCGGAGCACAAAAAGAATGTCATTAATCCATCACATGTGCTGCTACCTAGCCCCAAGCCCAGTTATACAGCCCTCCCACCCATCCTTTTTGCATTCTCATTTAATTTTAGCTACGCAATTCAAGATGTTCATCGATGGGTCTTTTAATCCATCATCTGGTATGGCAGGACAGGAGCTTGGATTCTCTCAGCAAATGATAATGAGGTCTTCTCAGGCAGTAGAAGAATTACAGTTGCAAATTCCCTTGAAGCCAAATGGTGGGCCTTCTTACATGGCATTCAATATGCCATAAAGTTGAATTGTATGTCGGGCCTTTTTTTTACTTTTAAGCTAGAAAAGTGCTTTTATTGTTTCAAATGTATAGATTCTTTTAATTCATTATTTTGTGAATGGTTAAGCTGCCCGAGAATAATATGATATCATTTGAAGCGCATTGAATATGTTACAATTATGTCCTCCTGCATATATCAAAAAATTAGAAATGGACATTTGGAAAATGATGTGATGAAGTAGCTGTGAATTCACCGGTGCACCTTTTATGATCAAACTTATAATTTTATAGATGGCACCTTTAAGAATTCCAAAATACTCTCTCATAAATTTGCTAAATCCGTGTTAGAAAATAAAATCGCATCTTATATAGCACTTTTTTATCAACCTTAGAATTTATTCCTTCTTCTTTAGTTTAGTTAAACAGCTACATGACTGTGGTCACAAAATTCTGGATTGATTATTAGCTATCAGTTTGTATTAAAAGAGACTTTGGACTTAAAAGCAGAGGACATTTCTTCCAATTCTCTACATGCTAACACTGAGAGGTCTATAAATATTGATTCTGTCTAGTATTTACAGTGGAAGAATATGTTTTTCTTGGTACCTACCTCTACTACTGACGCTGCGAGAGATATAGATGCAACATACATATAGGCTACCCACTACCTAAGCATGACATTTTGTCATGCAGGCTACAAACTTATACTTTAATAAGCTCCTACTGAATCTGTTTTCTTGGTTAAATAACAGAAAAAAATATGTATATATCTTAATTTTTTATTGCTGATGTTGCATTTTTCTGTGTTTTCCACATTTGGCAGAGCTCCATTTTTTGGTGCTTCAAGAAATTCTCTTGGATGTGAAATTCAAAGTGATTGTTTTTTCTACTGATTTCTGAGGAATTGGGCACTCCAAAGTGACTGGCTTTTCCTCGAGTTTTGTTTTCTGGAGAATGTTTGTCATCTCTCTAGATCTGCTGGTGGACATGAGTCGTCCCGAAAATGTTGGACAGAAGCAGATAGTCCCCTGTCTACTTGTTTGTTTTGTGAATTGTGATGCCACTCTTCAATGGCTGTTATTTTCCTCTTGCTTTTTCTTTATTTTCCTAAGTCATTTTGAGTCAATTTGGAATAATAGTATATACAGTAATGAGTAATGTGATCATTTTTAATTTGATTTTTTAATGCTATTCAATACCCAATTGTATCTAAACTGGATTCGAAGCTGAATAAGTGAACATAAACAACTCAAATTTGGAAGTTGGAGTTGGATACAATCATCGGGGCGGGGAAATATCGGGGATTACCCGTCCCCAGATCATTGCTTGCGGGGCGGGTACATGTCCGGGATTCCCCATCCCCAATGGGGCCGGGGATACTCACCCCATTACCATCCCTATCTGTATTTTTCTCTTACACCTCTTTAAAAAAGGCCTTAATTCTACATACAAAAAAAAAAAAAAACTTTTATATGTAAAACCTCTTTGACCTAAAGAGGGATCACACCAACTGTTAGATTAAAATTAATCTAGCAGTTACAAAATAAGACACAATACCAACATAAATTTCAAGTTTTGCACACTCAAGAATCAGGATCTCCAAAATTGACTTAATACTAGCTCGGATAATTTAAAGGGTAAAACTTGTATTTAAAAAATAAATGCTTTGCATCATTTTTTCCCCAATGAAAACCTAATGGAAGGGAGGTGATTGTACATTTTTTCAAACTAGAGGGGAGGTTTTTATTATAATTAAAATATAGGAAAGGTTTGTATTATTGTTGAAAAATCCAGGGGAGGTTTTTATATTTTATCCTCAAAATTTTCATCCAATTTACAATGGAAAAGAAAAATGTGCTAATGATTCAACGATTTCAATGTGCCCATTCATCTCACTATAAGAGTGGGGAGCCCGGATTTCCTGCCCTCGAGAACCCTGCCCACGTTTATCTTAGCCACACATGGAGAAAATCTCATCCTCTGCATAGTATTATGCAGGGGGAGATGTTCCCAGTTCACGAGGGGTGGTGTATTGTGGGTAGGCGTGGGCAGGGTTCTCATGGGCAGGAGATCCGGGCTCAAGAGTGGGAGCCACCATACACAAAATAAAAGGGTCTTTTTTTTTATAAATATTGCCACCTCAAGAATTTTTTATGAGGTTGTACGGCTGAGAACTAAAAGGTGAGGGAATCTATCCCAATATATATGGGGTATTAATTGAACTGATCTGATCAATTTTTTAAATATTCAAACTAAAACCGAATCGATGCAATCGGTTAATCGCGGTTCGGTTTTTTAGTTTTTTTATGCAGTTAAAATAAATAAAAAAAACTAAAACCGTCGGTGGTTGTTGTCAATGTCGGACTAATTGGTGTCGGTGGTTGCTATCGATGCCAGACTAGTTGGTGTCGGTGTTGCCGCTTGTCGAAGACACAGAGTCTGAGAACTTGTCGGAGACGCAGAGAGCAGAGGTGAGAGAAAGAAAAGAGAGATACAAAGATCAGCCCTTGCTTGTCGGCAAGGCGGCGACAGCCGGTGTTGCCACTTGGTGTTGTCGTGCTGGTGGTTGGTGCGGGCCGTGCGGCCGTATAGAGTGGAGAATAAGAACAGTATAAGAAGAAGAAGAAGATTGGAAGAGAAGAGAAAACTGAGAGAGAGAAAATATTCAAAAAAGTCTACACTCGTAGTATGGGGAAAAGACAAGAAAAATAAAAAATTGATTATTGGCAGAACTTTCAATGAAATTTTCGATTTTCAATGAAAGTCTCTGCCGAACTTTAATGATGGCAGAACTTTCAATAACCGCCGGTTTTTTTAAATGGATAACTGAAATCAAACCAAAATTAGCGGTTTTTTAAGAATATCGAACCGAAACCAAACCAACCGGTTTGGTTAATCGATTTTTCAGTTTTTCTTGCTCACCCTTATCTAGGACAATACATTTAAAAAACCAATAAAAATTTATAAGAGAAGCAAAACATTTTAGTTTGGAAAGACTAGAAATATAGAATGCAAAACCTTACTATTTTTGTATTATTTTATATGTATTTACACTAAACATATTTATATTTATATTCTTTTCAAAATGAGCCCCTAAGATGTTTGGACACAAATAACGTGGGGGTGGATTTGAACCAAGTCAAGCCGAATGCTTGGCTATTTGAGATCAGCTCGTCAAAACAATATTAGGCTCGAGTTCGAGCTCAATTCAAGTTAAAAACTTGAGCTCAAATTCGACTCAACTTAAAAGCTCGTACATTCGAGCTCGACTATAAGCCAAGCTTCCTATAAAAAAATAAAAATTATACATATAAAAATTATTTTTTAATTTTACATACAAAAAATTAAGAATTATAAAAGTTATTTAGTATCATAAGTATAACAAATAAAAATATTATATATAATATTTATTACTACATATAAAAAATAAAAATATAATTTATTTATTATCATATATAAAAATAAAAATATTATTATACATATAATAAAAATTATATATATGTACATACGTACGTACGTATGTATGTATGTACATATGTATGTATGATTAAGTTTGATTATGCTAGCGAACCTAACAAGTCGAGTTTCATTGGGCTTGAGCTTAGCTCAATTAGGAAACGAGTATATATGTCAAACACGAGCTTAGCTCAATTAGTCACTACAAGAAAAATGAAAGTCTTAAAAACTGCCGCTGAATGTTTTACCAGCAGTCAGCAAACTGCCGCTAAAACAATTGTCGCTAAAAGTTTTAGCAGCAGTTTCCTGACTGCCGGTAAAACTTAAAAACTGCCGATAAAGATGCACCAACTGCCGCTAAAACTATTATATACATATTTTTTCACACCTGCCCAAATAACCTGAAATTTGCTTAAAATAACCTATAATTATTTTTAATTACTAAACAAGATTTTAATTTGCTTCAAATAACCGATTTTATATTCAATCATCCAAATTGAAATGAAATAAAAAAAATACAAATTCCATTAATTCATTCCATTAACAAAAAGAAATAACAAATGCAATGGCCACTGTTATATGCACCAGAAGACCATATAATTACAATAAATTTAAAAAAGAAAAAAGAATTACTTCTTCAGAAGTAAACTCTTTGGCACTTCATCACTGTATATGTAAGGTTTGGTAAGACTATTTGATATCTGATGGTCGACTTTGCCCAGCAGGGAAACGAGTCTGGTGTCTCTCACCAGTAAAGAATCTACTGTCTGTTGGGCCCCGCCCAAGAATTCCAGAAGCATTTGATTGATGTAACCGATTACCATTGCCGAGAGGTTGGTACGAGGACTGGACATTAACATCATTTCTTCTTCTCCGTTTCCAAGCTTCTGACTTTCCAGTATCCTGCTCTTTGTGAAATGCTTCTGAAGGTTGGTGCAATGTAAACTTCATGTACCCTCTAGGCTTATCATTACTGTGGCTGAACGAGGGGCACTGACTGGGATCACTATCTCTGTCCATGGGGCCAGAAACAGAACCATTGAGGTGGGAGGGCCCCACCCCTGCCACAGCATTCTGCTCCTGTTTAAGTTTAGAATAAATCTGATGCAGTCTCTCACCAGACAAATTATAAATGGAGGAAACATAATTCCACAATCGCATAGTCATCCCTGTAAACAAAAAGAATCTCCATTAAGTTGGTCTACTTGTTTGGATTTCAATAAGAAGGCCAAATAAAAAAAAGAACTAATGGTTGGAGCTGAGAGACCGGGAAAGCACACTTTAACTCGATCAACAATAATAATCAAACTACTATGATAAAGGTAAACATGCATGTATGTTTTATAAATCGTTTAGCACCAAAGTCAACTGTGAAAGAATGTAAGAGGATGAGAACTAATTACGTACTAGATTGCTTATATGACTCCTCATGTTCCTGTACAATTTCATCTATCTTTCTGCCAAGAAGTTGTAGATAATTCCGAATTTTGGAAAGCACCTGAACAGATAAAAAGTTATAATATCATGATAAAATGTGAAAACAGTAATACAATAAAATATGCAACTAACAAGAATTAACCTTTTCCTTGGGAAGATCTGCACTGGTATATTGCAACCTCTGAAGACATTTCAGTGTCTTTTGCTCATCAATCATGACATCTGCACACCACTCCATCCATTTTTCTTCATTGAATTGATACAGCTCAGTATCAGACATCTATCCCTACTCCTTGGCAATAAGTTCAACTTTTTGATCTTTCTGAGGTGTGTCATTGTTTGTACAGATGTTAGATTTGGGTGAACTTTATTTTCCTTTCACGTCCCTGAAGTGAGTTTTTGAAAATTTCAGAATATTGTCCCCTTCAGTTTTAGAACCCTTACGTTCTGCTTTAGCCTTTGAATTCTTTCCACCAACAGTTGCAAATTCCTGGTATAACAAGCAACTCAATAATCAGTACATGTGCCTACATGTCAATGTAGAAACTTCTAATATCAAGTAAAATTGGTATGATAGGATTTCCGCAAATTTAAAGAAATAAAATAATTTGATATGGATGGTAACTACAAACTCCTGAGGAAGTGTTACAGGTTAACTCCCACCCACCGACTGCAACCCACAAAACAAGAAATTATTGCTCAAATTGCCCTCTTAAAAACTAAATTCCTCACAACTAAGGTACTCGGATATGACAAGTGGCAGACACAAAAGGACTTCCATTTACATCCACCTTTCATGGAAGTACCATAGCAATGATCTATAACACGAATTGGGGTCATTCGTAGACTGGTTTAGTGTCAAAGCTGCTCAAGCATATAGCAAAGGATGGAAGGCAGAGAGTGGGTAACAATAATCCATAGTGAAGATGTCTTTGCCAATCTTTCCAAACTGTAGTATTACCTTTTCCTGCTCTGCTAATGAGACATTTTGGAAAGGATCCACCGATGCCACGAGCAGAAAATTCTTAACAGAGGCCACCGTCACACGCCCTCTGAAATTTAAACACCAACATTGCAGCTGTTATGGCCAGCAAGTTTATGTTACTCAGATTCAGTGAGGACACGGTTGTATATGGTATTGGATACAAATTTCATTTAAAGTTCAAGTATCTAATACGATGTGGCTCCCTTCTACAGACATCCAAGTATCATAGCAGCAAATGCAAATTTTGCTTCAGAGCTTTTTTCTTTTACTTACAAAATGAAGGTATCTGCAACTTAAGGAAAATTAAGAGTTGTTGTTTTGCAACCAATTTTAAGATCCAACTTAACCAGCAATTATTCTATCAAATCAGATTTGTTAGTTTCCACAGATCACGGAGATGGTATCAAGCTGAAATGCTAAATTCAAAATTGTAGTTTAACGGTGGTCAAAACAAGCTATTTATGATCAGGTTCTGTTGACCTCTAAATGATCTAGATTCTAATTTATATTTCAGAAATAATCATGTTTGATGTTAATAATAACTATTTTAGGGGCCTGATGAAGGCACATCTCCAATCAAAGGGCAAAAGAAAAATGTTTTTTTTTTTTTTTTCAATGGGTCTCAGAATGTCTTTGGGAGCTCAATTCAGTGTGTGCTGCACTGTGGCATTCATTGCTACCATTCATCAAAAACATAGAAGCAACAAAAGATCAAGTATTTAGGACAAAAACTTTCTAATTTCTTAGATAGAGAAAAAATGTTATATGAATGAATATTGGTTTTTGCTTTTATACCCAAATTTTCACCTCTAAGAGAATCAAATTATGCTGAATTCATATTTTTTTCACCCCAAACATATAAATTAGGGGTCTGAAAATAAAACAAATGTTGTATTGATATTTTCTTTTTCTAGTCTAACGAGCAAGGGGAAAATGGAACCGGACACCCAATTTGCACATGAGCAAGGCAAGCGTGGCTGCACTAAAGCTGTGGAAATAAGCACCCAAGCAATATTGAATTAATTACATTGAAATTTTTGTTGGATAAACAATTCAAAGTTTCAAACAATGACCAACAAAAGAAATATAATACGACAATAAAAATAATGTCTTAGAAAATGAAAAAATTTACAAAACAAAACATATACCAGAGCAAAGACCAAGATAGAGCCAATAAGTATAAGTTGATTTGTCCCTCCTTATAAAGCACTGAACGGGTGAATCATGGGGCCCGGGCTATTCAAAGTTGAAGCAATGACAACAAAAAAAAGGAAAATTAGTAGAGAAAATAGAGAGCAAAAGAATATTATCTGAAAAGAGAGAGAGAGAGAGAGAGAGGCATAAAAACTGCTTTAATGAGATAGGGAAGGTAACCTTTCTACATTTCTCAAGAGTCTTGACAATCTCTCTCCATGACCTACAAATAGACGCACAAACAACGACACTTCTCCTCGTAGGCCACGATGTCTCGCTATCCTCCACTCTCTGGATCACATCCATAAGTAACTCCAGAGGTAGGTTAGCCCACGGGCCCTATTCAATCGAATCCGTTTGGAACCATGACACATCAAGGCTAATATGCGATCTCCTGTGGCTGCCCACATCCTGAACAAAGCTTTGAACGACATTGTAACCAAATAGATTCTTCTTTCATTGATTATAAGATAATCAGACAAACAAAAAGGAGAAAATAGAGGATTAGTGAGGTTAATCTGGGACAAAGAAAACAACCTTGTTTAGTTCTGAAAAAAGGATAAACTAAACAGTTGGTGTTTTTTCGTTTTGACTTTCCTATAGTATACGGTGCAAATGTTTTTTACGTCTCAATCAAAATTTGATGGGCTCGAACTAAACGGAGAAATCTAACATCTCAGAAGAATCATTAAACCTATTACCATATTGAGAGCGAGGGAGAGCGAGAGAGGAATGAACAACTGTGAGAGAGAGAGAGAGAGAGAAAGAGGATGGGAGTGGCGTGAATATTTTCAGCGAGCGAGAGAGGGTGGGAGGAATATTTTAGCGGCAATTGTTTGGACTCTAGCAGCAGTTTTAATTGACTGCCGCTAAAAATCCATCTTTTCCAGCGGCAATCGCCAAATTTCCAGGTCGAAAACTGCCACTAGAACTCTATTTTCTTGTAGTGAGTAAACGAATCTATATATCGAGCTCGAGCTCAGCTCAATTAGTAAGTGAGTTTATATATTGGGCTCGAGCTTAGCTCGATTAGTAAATGAGTCTATATATCGAGCTTGAGTTCAACTTAATTAGTAAGCGAGTCTATATATTGGGCTCAAGTTTGACTTCAAACTTAGTTTAAACCAAGCCGAATCGAACTTTTTCACGAGTCGAGCTCAAATAACTCATGAAAAACTTGATTTGTGAAAAGCTCAATTCTTTTAGGGAGTATTGTATAATGTGAATTGTTTTTCTTGTTGCCAGTTTTAAAAACAAATCAAAACGATCTTGTTTGAAAACAGATTATTTCTTAAAACAAAAACACAAGAAACATGTTCTTGGTTATGTTCATGTTTTTTATTTTTGAAATTGAAACAAAAAACATGTTCTTGAATATGGTTTCAAAAATATGTTTTCATCTGATTATTCAACATTATGTTCTACAAATCATATAATTTCTATACTAAAAAATTTGATTTTTTTTAAAACCAATATTTTGTTAATTTCAAAATATGTATTATTTTTCAAAACAAAATCAATTTATTTTTTACGTTGAAAATGAAAACAGAATTCAAAAACATATTTTTCTTTTTTGCTGATGTAGGCATGTAGCGGTTCTAAAAATAAATAAAAACAAAAATACTCATATCGTAGAACGCTCCCTTATTGAATGAAAATTCCGACTGAAGGCTGAAGAAAAGTCGTATACTCATATTTGTTGAGAAAGGAATCTAGCATCAGACTAATTAGCTGGAAAGGGGCAAATAACTTTGGATTCAACGTCAACCTTTCCAACAGATTTTTTGGAATTGGGATTGAATATGGTGCTACGCCAAGGTTCCTGTATCTTTTTTTAAGGGAAAATGTATGATGTGAAAAACATATGATATGAAAATGGTTTTGACATAAATAATACCTTATTCGCTATCATGCTTATCATTCTAATTTCTTGGTCCATATCTTGAACCCCTTTTTCATACATAATTGTATCAAAAAAAAATCAAGAACCTTTATATGGGATTAGGATTTATTTTTTGTAGTGTGTAGGAGATGTTTTCGACGTGCAACCAAGAGAGACTGTTACGTCAGCGCACAGACTGTTAGGTCAGTGTGAGGCGTGCTCTATGAGGAGAAGATCCTCACTCCTTTATATAATCTAGTGCTACATATAAAGCAGTCTGCAGATGTCCCTTTATGAGACCACCTCCACTTAAAATCTATATAAACTTATAAAGCTACTATTGATACCACATGCAAAACACTACTTTATGAATCTTGATCTCCTCCCAATAAAAAACTATTTCTGTGTTGGGACTTGGGAATCTCAGTCTTGTGATGAATTGGAATCTACTCCTCACACTGACTTCATATGCATATCTCATCATGCATTGGGAACATTTCCTGTGAATAATAACCTATAAACATGGAAGATGTTCCTAATGCATGATGAGATATGCATATAAGATGTCCTGTGTGAGGAGCAGATCCAATCTCTCTTATGATGAGAAATTCAAATCTATCCCCATGAAATGAGCCCTAAAAATGTCCTACATGCACATCTCAGCATACATTCAAAACATCTCTCGTGAGAGATGTCAGATATGTGAACACTGTGACGAGATATCAGATATGTGAACAGTGATAATGTTGGAATGTGTTGGTAAACACTTTGCCCCAAGGCCCCCCTAACAAGGGAGGTTGGGCTCTGCTACAAACAAAACGTGAATAATGTGCTATGCAACCCAGTCAAGAGTGAACACGTCATTGATTTGTAACATTTTCTTTATTTTTTAACTGGGTTTTGTAGCCTTTTGTAGTTTGTACAAGGCCAGCTATAAAGCCTCAGCAATTGTCCCAATTAGAAAACCCCTTAATGGTTTGTAACATTTAGCTTTAGAGTATCAATTATTATTTGATTAGATAAAATAGTACTTATATATATATATATATAATATATGAGGTACAGACAGGGAATACAACTTGGATTTTTCTTAATCAATAACTTGACTAGCTGCAATAATCCTATTTTAGTCGAGGCTAAATAAGACTTGGGTTGAAAATACCTATTTCTAATTAAAAAATTAAATTGAATTAGATTGAGACATCCAGCATCTTGTCACAACTGTCAACCACACCTGATTTTGTATATAAAACCAAGCCCCTTTTTTTGTGTGTTAGTTTGAAAAATTTATTTGAAAGCATCCCATCACATTTTCAGTATATAATTTATACATAAAAGTGATAAAACCACATTTTAGTACATTACCTATGCCCCATTCACTGCTTGAGGCCCAGCCCGAATAGATTAGGCTGGGTTTGGGCTGAACTCGTTTAAAGTCCTCATCTCAGTCCGAACTGAAATTCTCATGGTGGGGCTGGGCCTGGGCCTGGCCAATTCCAGATAGCTGCCAACAACTAATTGATAGCTACTTGGCTAGTGTAGATGGTATGGTATGCCCCACCCACCCGGTTTATGAGGTGAACGAGAAGCACAAGCTGCGACGGTGTTGATAGATGAAAGGATAGGCACAACCTACAGCTGTGAGTTACAACCTTACAACTCAGACGGTCTGAGCGGCTACAAGCGTACAAGTAAAGCTCAGCCCAACTATTTCACATTTCTCCAAGCTCCAAACGTTTCAGCTCATCAAAAATCATCCATTATATGTCTATTTCCAGAGAAGAGAAGACCATGATATAGAAAAGAAAAAGAAAAAAAAAAAAACGAAAGAAAGCCCACCTAAAATCTTCCTACCATAACAAACACGTTTGACGATTTCTTCAAGACTCAAGTCAAGAGAGTGTTTGAAACTTTTGGCAACAAAAAACTCCCGAATCCGTTCACTTCTGTTCATGGAATTGGAAACGCTCTTCGCCGAGTACACCAGAAACATCTGGAAGTGTTTAGGAGGGATCCAGTCGTACGCGCGTCTGGAGAACGACACACGTGCGGATACAGGGATTACAAAGAAGAAGCAAGCGACTTCACTCAAAACCCCAGGTCCCCCCAACGGCCTAACCGAAAAGCTAAAGGCTCATCAAAGAAGGGCATCTTCTCCCGCATAAGAAATATCGAAAATGTTGCGCTCTCTCTCTCTCGACCATCCCAAAGTGAGGACTTAAATGGCGTTCAATGCGATGTCACGTTCGGTCTCTTGCTACTTGCCTAGTTAATTATCTTATCTAGCCGTCTCCCGGTTTACTCTCTCTCTCTCTCTCTCTCGTTCTCCTTTACTGGTTCAGATCTTCTCTTCTTCGTTCCCCCAAGATCTCAAACACTCTGGTGCGGCCATTCTAGAGATTTTAGCTCTTCTTCTTTGAATTACGAGTTCACTCATTCTCCTACTTGTTGCAGCTTTCCATCTCTTCAGGTTTGTTGTCAGGCGATCTTAATCATTTGTTTGCTGTGTTTTCTTTGATTTTGAGATTGATTGGGGGTTTGGTTTTCCTCCGATATGATTTCAGTGAATTTGAGCTCCTTTTTGCGAATAGCTTGTAGACATTTCTGATCTTCTCCTTTTTCAGGTTTAATATTTCGAAGCTGCCTCTGGTTGATAGAGGAGTTGGTTTGGAGATCTGTTCGGTTTTTTTCGTGGTGGATTTAGAGTTTGCGAATGGCTTCTGTGCCTAATTCTCTAGTTTCATCTTCCGGTACTTCTGCTTCGGATCTTCTCCGAAGTTCGAGTAATGGTCTTAGTGGTGTTCCGTTGAGACTCTTTGGGCGGGCAAGGTTGGGTGTGCTCTTTAAGAAGGAGTTCACTGTTACAGCAAAGATTAAGAAGGGAAAGAAGCATGATTACCCGTGGCCTGACAATCCGGATCCGAATGTCAAAGGAGGAGTTCTTAGTCATCTCTCTCATTTCAAGCCTTTGGCGGAGAAGCAGAAGTCAGTTACTTTGGATTTCGAGAAACCGCTTGTGGGTCTGGAGAAGAAGATAGAAGATGTAAACTCCTCTTTTCTTTGCTACTCATACAAGACGTTACAGCATGAATTCAAAATTTGCAGATTTCAGTTTGCTTTAGAATTTTGCTTCTCCTGCTTGTAGGTGCGAAAGATGGCACAGGAAACTGGTTTGGATTTCAAGGATCAAATCATCTCACTGGAGAATAAGTATCGTCAGGCAAGTCGATGATATGCGTAGTTTCCGAATCATATCCAGAACAATTGTAATTTCATATTAGAGTAAAAACGAAGTCCTGAACAAGTACAACACGCAGAAAAGTGTCGAGGAAGGACATCGTGCATTTTATTAGCTGTTTGACTTTTTTTTTTCTAACTTAGCTTCTTTCATCATCCATCTCATTTTCTTATTCTGAGGTTAGGTTTGGATTACTTTGAAATATTCTGGGTAGACTTCTTAGTTTGATTCTAGCAAGGTACCCAAGTTTCTCCCTTGATTAAAGATGGCACAAGCTGGTATATTACTTCTGGGCCTTATCCTTCTATCTAGAATTTAAATTTATCTCTGGCCCTTGTAGGTAATCTTAATTCTGCAGTCTAAATATGATGTTCATTCTAGAAATTCATCAAAAAAATGTTCATTCTAGAAGCAGTAGCGGCAAGCTGGTATTTGTAGCTGCGTTTTGCACCCTTTTCTCATACATTGACAATTAAGGGTTATGTGAGAATGTCCATTCATCATGCTCTACTTGATTCTATTCCTGTCATTTTCATTGGCAAGATACTTTCTGGACCTGAATGCTTGTCTTGGATTTTACAATGTTGACTTCAGGCTCTAAAGGATTTATACACACATCTGACTCCTATACAACGTGTGTATATTGCTCGACATCCTAATAGACCAACATTTCTTGACCATATATTGAATATCACTGACAAGGTATGACAATTCAAATGGGACTAGAGATTCATATCCACTTGGAAGGATTATTTCTTAGTTCTAAACCTCTAGTATGAGGAGAATTATATCAAATTGTTTCCTTTCATCTCAATTGTGTAGTGGGTGGAACTACATGGAGATCGAGCAGGCTATGATGATCCTGCTATTGTAACCGGTATTGGAACCATAGATGGTAGACCATACATGTTCATAGGTCACCAAAAAGGTAGAAACACAAAGGAGAACATTCATCGCAACTTTGGAATGCCTACTCCACATGGGTATGTTCTCTGTACATGGACGCATTATATGGAAAGTAGTTACTAGGCATGTATGGTTTTGTTGAAGGAATATTTTCTGTGGTAATGAAGATCCAAATGGTTTTAGAACTAAACACATGAGTTCTATTTAATTGTATTCCATAATATTAAGAGAATCTCACCATAAATTATGATGGACTTCATCTTCAAACAGCTATAGGAAGGCTTTGCGAATGATGCGTTATGCAGATCACCATGGATTTCCTATTATCACATTCATTGACACACCAGGAGCTTTTGCAGACCTTAAATCAGAGGAGCTAGGACAAGTATGCATACATTTTACTTTCCAGACATACTTGGTTGTTGATTGTCAAATACCGTCTCAAATGATCTTTTTTGCTTGACCTGCATGCAGGGTGAGGCAATAGCACACAACTTGAGGGCTATGTTTGGTTTGAAGGTTCCAATTGTCTCTATTGTCATTGGAGAAGGCGGTTCTGGTGGCGCTTTGGCTATTGGCTGTGCTAATAAATTACTAATGCTTGAAAATGCAGTCTTCTATGTTGCAAGGTAGTTCAAAGATGTCCACTTTATGGTAATAGCTCTTCCAGACTTTATTGTTGCCACTATTTTTTGTGCCTATGGTGATTTAATTGAATAAACTTTATTTTCAAGTTACCTGCAAGTAATAGCTTGATCTTCTTTTCTACCGCATTTCTTCTAAAAGTGCAATATTTCTTCCCTTAATCCTTTCTATTCAGATTTGAATCTCTTTGTCTCATAATTCAGATCCTTAATTCTCTCTCTCCTTTCCACCACATTCATCCTAATTGGGGTTTCTCTTTCCTGTCCTACATTATATGTTAATCTATTTGACTTTGATAATTCTATTGCTGCAACTTACTAATGACCTTATTTAAATGTTGAACTTGAGCTTTTTTCATTTGTGCTTCCATTGTTCCTTGTTATTGATTGACTTTAAACATCTTTCTGGCATCATATAATCTGTACATCAAAGTTATTCATTTTATCTGGTTGTCTACCCAGTATCCATTGATCTCACTTCCTTCTCTATGATACAGCCCAGAAGCATGTGCAGCAATCTTGTGGAAGAGTGCCAAAGCTGCTCCACAGGTTTAGATAACCTTTAATGTTTGTCTTTGTATTTATAGCAGGCAGGCTACATTAACTTAGTTATAGTGGTTTTAAGTACGCTTCATCTTTGCAGGCAGCTGAGAAGCTGAAAATAACTGCTCCTGAGTTGGTCAAGCTGGAAATTGCAGATGGCATCATCCCTGTAATATTTTCCTCTATTTTAAACTTCTCATATTCTGATACATCCTTTCTTTTCTCTAAAAGGAGTTGGCAACCCTGATATGTCATACTTTCAAGAAATGATTTATTAACACAAGGATAATAAATATTGATAAAAAAACACAAGGATAATAAATTTGGACATCAATACCTATCCTTCAACTGAAGCCATCTAAGCACTTAATAGATTGACAAAACAAATAATATTTGAAAGATTCAAAGGCCTGCATTGTAGCAGTAGCGCTGTAGTGGGTAATGCTTTGTGGCCTGCTCATGAAGTCCAGGCTGAAAAAATCTTTAAACAGCTAGAAATACCAAAAAGGCTGATATTGTTATATTTAAACACACTGCTATAGATGCTCTCTTGCTTTTCCACATGAAACTTCCACATCATATTCATCTTATCTCACTTACTCTTTTGACAGGAACCACTAGGTGGTGCACATTCAGATCCATCTTGGACATCTCAACAGATAAAAGTTGCTATTGTTGAAACAATGGACGTATGTATCTGCCATGTTGGCTTTTTGTAGATGAACCCTACTTTCCCATTGAGATCCTAACTTAGACCATATCATCCACTTGTACAGGAGCTCCTGAAGATGGACACACCAGAGCTATTAAACCATCGTATGCTTAAGTTCCGTCAAATTGGTGTGTTTCAAGAAGGAATTCCAGTTGACCCAGAGAAGAAAGTGAACATGAAGAAGAAAGATGGACCGATTACTCAGAAGGAAGAGCATGGCAAAAGTCCAGACCTCGAATTGGAAGATGAGATTGAAAATCTGAAACAAGTTCTGAAAGCTGGGGAACCATCTTTCAAGTTTACGGAGTTGGAATTGAATGAGATGATAGAGAAACTGAAAAGGGAGGTTGATCAGGAATTTACTGTGGCAGTCAATGCCATGGGTTTGGGGGACCAGCTTGAGATGCTGCGGGAGGAGTTTGCAAAAGCAAGAAATTCACCAGACCAACTCATTAATCAGAGTCTGAAGGACAAGATTGAGAAGCTAAAGCAGGAATTCAATCAAGGATTATCAGAGGCTCCTAACTATGCAAGCTTGAATTACAAACTTGACATGTTGAAGGAAATTTGTAAAGCAAAGAAACTCTCAGAGCAGAATGATAAAATAACAACTTTGAAACAGGAAATCAATAAGAGATTCAAAGAGGTCATGGACCGACCAGACATAAAGGAGAAACTTGAGGCACTTAAGGCTGATATTGCTAACACTGATTTGTCCACCGAGAGGGATCTGGATCAAGGGCTAAAGGCTAAAATTTTGAAGGTGAAGAAGGAAATAGAATTGGAATTGATGGATGTGCTTAAGTCTTTGAATTTGGATGTAGAGGCAATTAAATCAAAAGTTGTCAATGAGCAGACCTCATTCTTGGACTTCAAGGAAAATATAGAGGAACTGAATGATGAAATTAGAAGTAAAATAGAAGCTGCTGCCAATTCATCAGATATGAAGAACAAAATAGAACTGCTGAAGTTAGAGATGGAAATGGCAGGAAGGGATCCTGGGCCAGATTCAAAAGCTAAAATTAATGCTCTTATTCAACAAATAAAGCAAAGCCTCGCAGAGGCTGTAAGTTCCACAGAGTTGGTAGAGAAGCATGAAAAGCTAAAGAAGGAGATCGCAAAGGCCATGGAATCTTCTGGAGGACCAAATGGAAGCATGAACCTGGAGGATTTGAAAGGAGGCAGTTCAGAAGATGCATCAAGATTAAAGAATAATGAAAATGCAACACACAGCATTACTTGATGTAAGTTTATCCAATCTCGTTGTTTTATAATTTCCTAAGAACTGATACAGAATTTACCTATCCATAAAATTACCATTTGACGTAGCTAGAGTGCATTTTTCTTTGTTTAAGAACCAGCATTTGTAGATCACAGCTAAAAGTAGTTTCATTAGTGTTGTCTGGATTCATTTGATGAGGATAACCTTAGGCTTTATCTAAGTAGATTTTTCCATGCCATTTTTCTATGTTATTTTTTTATTTTCAGCCTGAGTTGAACTTTACCTTTCATCAGAGAGGTTCTGCCATGAGGAAATGGAAGTGGCAACCATCAGTTCTGTTTCCATACTTCCAATAACGATGGCAAAATTTGTTTTTACTTTTCTGGTTTTATAGCTACCTTAGCTGGCGGAGTCAGTGGATCTAGTTACCACTGGCTTGGGATTAAATCTTGCCTTCACCTTTCCAATTTTTCATCTGCAAATTTCCCCAGCAGAAAAAGGCCCAGCCTCTATGTTGAAGCCTTTTTTTTTTCTGGTAATGCATAGGAGTCATTCCCACAATTTTTTGCTTTCTGAAATGGAATTCCAATGTGTGTGCTAGTTGGGTTGTTTGGTGAATGATGCAGGAAAAGTATGAACCTTACCTGACTTGACTTCAAAGTAGGCCTGCAACTTGGGCCGGGTTAGGCTGAACCCAACCTGAAAAGATTGGGTTATATAAACATGTATTCAATGTATGTCAGTGCATGTATATGTACGTATACATGTTTGTGTATGCATCTATGTGTATATGCAGCTATGCCTCAACTCATTAATAAATGTATGCATATAAGGGTTGTTTGGCGAATGATGCATATAAAAGTATGAGCCTGACTTAACTTTCAGGTTGGGTTATATAAACATGTATTCATGTATTGAAGTACATTTATATATGTATGTATACTTGTTTGTGTATGCATCTATTTGTATATGCAACTATGCATCAAATTATCAATAAATGTATGTATTTATGTATCAACAATTTTACGTTTAAAGGCAAATCTTTTCTAAAGCATGATAACTATGTCCTTTTATTTGTGATATTGCTAAAACTGAGTCCAGATCTGCTAACCACAAGACACTATAACCGAACATCAGGAGCATCTCAATTGTCATTCATGGGGAGATGTTCCCGATGTGTGCGTGCTTGTGTTTGTGTGTGTGTGTGTGAAAAAAAGATAAAAGAAATTCATTACAAAGAAGAGTACATGAGATAGCAAAAAAGTTTTGATATAAACTTTGTGAAAAAGAAGAAAGAAGAAGGGAAAAGTTTCTGCTAGAAAAGAAAAGAAGAAGAGAATGAGAGGAAGCCAGGAAAAATCAGATCTGGCCGCCCCTTTCTTTTTAATTATATACTCATAAAAAAGAGTATACAAGTACAAGTATGCCCTTAGTAGGTTGGCTACTTGTAAGAAGCTAAAAACCCACTTAACATAAACTAATGGGCCTAAGGCCCAATAACTTCCTAACTAAATTATGTAAATAAAAATAAATAAAGTCGGCCCAATAACTCAACACTCTCCCTCAAGTTGGGAATAAATGTCACACATTCCCAACTTGCGTGGTCATGCTGTAGCTTGTTTCTTGCAACACCTTTTGTAAAAAACATCAACAAACTGCAAACCAGATGCAACATATGGCAAGCAAACTTCCCCTGAAGTCACCATTTTTCTTATAAAATGTCTGTCCACTTCAATGTGCTTCGTCCTATCATGCTGAACTAGGTTGTGGACAATGTTAATTGTTGCTTGATTGTCACAGTATAGCATCATAGGTTCTTTTGCCACAATCCCAATCTCTCCTAACAAGGAACGGATCCAAATGAGTTCTGAAACACCGTATGCCATGGCTCTGTATTCAGCTTCTGCACTTGACCTTGCCACAACTGTCTATTTCTTACTCTTCCATGAAACTAGATTACCTCCAATAAGGTATCAATCTCACTCAGATCATTTCCTATAACTACAATGTCATCCACATACACTATCAAAACTGACACCAAAGACCCCCTCCTCTTCCCAAACAGAGTATGATCTGATTGAGTTTGAGTATAGCCAAAACCAACCAATGCTCTTCTAAACCTGTCAAACCAAGCTCTGAGTGATTGTTTCAAACCATATAAAGACTTCTTCGACCTGCATACCTTTCCCTTTTCCATATCATTGTAGAAACTAGCTAGAAGATTCATATACACCTCTTCTTGCAAGCCCCCATTGAGAAAAACATTCTTCACATCAAATTGGAAGAGTGGCCAAGAGTATGTAGCTGCTAGTGATAGAAGAATCCGGACTAAACTCATCTTTGCCATTGATGCAATGCCATAAGTCTGAGTATACCCTTTTGCAAACAGCCTTGCCTTATACCTTTCTATACTCCCATCCACCTTGTATTTCACTATATAAACCCATCTACACCCAACTGTCTCTTTGCCTTCTGGTAGATCCACAATCTCCCACGTCTAATCAAAGCTTTCATTTCCTCCTGTATAGCTGTCTTCCACTCAGGTTTGGAGAGAGCCTCACTAACACCCTTGGGTATAGGCACAAGGTCGAGGGAGGAAATGAAAGAGATAGTCTATTGTGGGAGAGATAGTGTGAGATGCAATGAGCAGTACACTTTCTCTTCCATTTTCTGAGTGCAATAGGAAGGTCAAGGTCATCTGCAATGGGGTTAGTAGTATCAATAGGAACTAAACCATCAGAGGAAGGAAGGGGCATACCTGGATCAGTGTTAGTCGAATCTGGAGTCTCTGAAGAGTCGATAGGAAGTGACTATATGGGTTCTTCTGCTGTGGAATCAACCTCCTTGTGCAGTCATAGACGCTGTCGTGTAAAACACTGAGAAACAGGACGCAATGGAGGTGGTAAAGTGGGTGAAATAGGTGGGTCAAACACTGGCATAGACAAAGGAGTTGGAACCAGAAGTGGTATAGATTGCTCACTTCTTTCCCCAAAACACTCCCCTTGAGAAGAACCCCCCGGGAAGAAAGGTGTGGACTCAAAAAAGGTGACATCCATAGTAACATACCGACTCCTAGAGATTGGGTCATAGCAATAATACCCCTTTTGGTTTCCTGCATACCCAAGGAAGACACACTTCTTTGCCTTAGGATCTAGTTTTGAGTAGTGAGCACCAAGAACTTGGACAAAGCATACACAACCAAACACCATTAGAGGAATATGGAACATCTCCCCCCTTAGGAAAAAAAAGGCTGAACGGGTGCTATATCCAAGAATATGAGAAGGCACCCGATTAATCAAGAAAACTGTTGTAAGAACTGCATCACCCCCAAAATGAACTGGAACAATAGAGGTCATCATCATGCTTCTTGCAACTTCCACAATGTGTTTGTTCTTCCTTTCTGCTACACCATTCTGTTGTGGAGTGTATGAACAACTGCTTTGATGGATTACTCCATGCTCTAATAGGTATGATGCTAGGTTTTTTTTTTTTTTCAAAATATTCCTTGACATTGTCTGTTCTAAACACTTTTATTCATACCCCAAACTGTGCTAGCACCATCTGATGAAACTATCAAGCCAAAGATGGCACCTCATCATGGGATTTCATCAAATATAGCCAAGAATATCAAGAATAATCATCCACCAACAGAAGGAAATACTGATAGCCACCCATAGAGGGAATGTGATATGGCCCCCATACATCAGTATGAACAATATCAAGAGTAGAAGAACATCTTTTATTACTAGCTTTAAAGGAATGTCTACAATGTTTTCCAAGTTGACAACATTCACACTCTAAACTAGATAAACTAACAGACTCAAACAACTTTGGAAACAAGAAACACAAAGAAGAAAAAGACAAATGCCCTAACTGATTATGCCAAAGCATAATCTAACCCACTAACTCTGACTCAATACCCCTGTTGACATGATGACTCTGATGACTAGGAAGCGCATCAAGAAGGTAGATTCCATTCACCTCACAATCATTCCCAATCGTCCTCTTTGATTCCAAATCCTACAAAAGACAATGATTAGGAGAGAAAATCATTAAACAATTCAAATTCTTTGTCAAACTACTAACGGATAAAAGGTTAGCACTCAATCTAGGAACATGGAGGACAGAGGGTAGGGAAATGGTATCGGTTATCTTGATAAACCCTTTCCCAGCAATGGGAACATGTGATCCATTAGCTATGGAAACTCTATCTTTGCCAGAGCAGAGGTGGTATGAGGAGAAAATGGTGGAAATGTTGGTCATATGCTCTGAGGCTCTTGAATCTATAATCCAAGGTGGTCCCTCCTTAATTGTAGTGGAAACATAGTTTGTAGTGACATGTGAACTACCTACATGTACAAAAGAAGTAGAATGGGTACCTCTTGATCCACCTGTACCTTGTTGTCCACCTGATAATGGGTTAGGGCTGACTGTATCTCTCTGGTTTAGTAATTGCCCATATCTCTCTAATTCGGCCCTCACTGCAACTGCTGCAATAGACTCTAGGGAAGTTGTAGTAGGTGGTCCTAATAAGTCGTCAGTCACTGCCATATTCACATTTCCCTTCTTGTTTCTGAGTCAGCTCGGCACAAGGTGAGGGTAAAGCTTCTAGTAGTTATCTCTAGTATGTTTAGACTTCTTACAGTAATCACAAATCAGATCATTCGTATCTTCCTTCCTGAGTTCATTTCCACCCTTGTCTCCACTCTGCTAACCATAGCCGACTACTCAAGGCTTGGGTTCCTCATCATCACATTCCTCCTACTCTCCTCTCCTGACACAAAGGCATATGCCTACGAGAGAGTTATACTGTCTCTGGAAAGAATATGCTGCCATGCAATGTCATACTTGGGGTTAAGTCCAGCTAGAAACTCAAAAACCCTATTCTTCTCTACCAATTTCTGATAAGTTGTTGCATCCTTGCTACTTTCCCAAACCACAATCTCCAAATGGTCTATATCCTGCCATAAGGTTTTGAGGGCTGAAAAATAAATAGCAATAGATTTATCTCCCTGTCTGGCAGCAATTACCTAGTTTCTCAACCGGTAGGCTCTAGTAACATTGTCATTATGTGAATAGGTTTCTGCAACTCCATCCCAAATCTCCTTAGCGATGTTAGCCCATAAAAAGTTTTTACTTATATGGGGCAACATGGAATTGCACACCAAATCATTACCATATAGTTCTCCTGTACCCATCAAGAGCAATTAGTTTCGGGTTTCTTTTCCTCACCGGTGACATACCCCAATTTCCCACGGGCACTAATGGCCAACTTTGCATATTGTGACCACTCTAAGTAGTTTATACCATCTAACTTAACTGTAGTGATGGTTCTAACCCCGAAGAGGCCTCTAGCACCTCCTCCCCCTTGTTCCAACTCCATAGCCCTCCATAACTCCCAAAAAAGGTTAGGAAATCACCTTGAGATGAAAAAAGAGGTATTTATCTCCTTCATACACCTCAAACACCCTTCTGGTACCCTAGAAGCTCCTCTCTCTAAAGATTCCTTTTTTCGTGGGAGCGGGAGAAGAGAGAGAGAAGCTGCCGCTCCCTCCAGAGGCCTCCAGAAAAGGTGGGACTTGACCACCCCCTTCAGAAAACTTCAAGGAACCCTAGAAAACTAGGGTGCCACTTCCTAGGTCAAAATTGAAGAGTCCTAAAACAGGACTCTCTCCCCTTTCTCTAGTTCTTCCTGATTTTGGTGTAAAACCCTAAACGAGCTACAAGGGATTGCAATTCAACCAAAAAAATCCAAAAACTGGGCTTACCTAAGGTTTTCGATCAGCCCTTCACCTCACCATGCAGTTGGCCGATCTGGGGCTGCATGATGGAGCAGCTCAAGAAGTCTTTAAGCTTGCTCTGATACCAAGTAGAAAAGTTTTGATAGCTGTTTTGATATAAACTTTGTGAAAAAGAAGAAAAAAGAAGGGAAAAGTTTCTACCATAAAAGAAAAGAAGAAGAAATAGAAGAGAATGAGAGGAAGCCAAGAAAAATCAAATCTGGCCGCCCCTTTCTTTTTAATTATATACTCATAAAAAAATTGTACAAGTACAATTATGCCCTTAGTTGGTCGGCTACTTGTAAGAAGCTAAAAACCCACTTACCATAAACTAATGGGTCTAAGACCCAATAACTTCCTAACTAAATTATGTAAATAAAAATAAATAAAGTCGGCCCAATAACTCAACAGAGATGATGTACAAAGAGGGGCAAAAAGCAGCCAAAAACTACACTAGCAGAGAGAGAGCACTATAAAGACAATCTAGAAAAGCACCAGAATTTGCTAGGCCTTCCACAATTATGTTTTGTTCCCTGGGAATCCAAAACAGATTTACAACCGTAGAATTCAAAATAACTCTGGCTTCAGCCAGGTAGTCAGCTAATCTCCAAGGACCACCTTTTCTTCTAACCTCTTGATGGTGTTACCAGAATCTCCTCTAATAGTTAGGTGCAGAATACCCAAGTCTCTAGCTATATGAAGGCCAGTGAACATATAATTTCTGCCTTTCTGAAGTTGGCAGTCCCCATTGGTCCACTGTGTGCCCAACAAACACTTCCATCTCCCCTTCTGAAAACACCACCTATTCCAGCTACACCCGGATTTCCAAAAGCACTTCCATCAAAGGGTTAACACCCCTTCCTCCCTGGTACTCATGATTTGGGAGGTGATCAAGGGACCTGGGGGAGGAGAATAGATAGTTCATTACATTTCTATGAAGATCGTTGATCGAGACAAATTTGAAAAGCTCAGAGTTGGTGGCCCACACAAAACACCTATGACTGTGACAGTCATAATTGAAATCAATTCATCTTGAGTTTTGGCCAAGTTGTCAAAGGCTCACTTGTTTCTCTCTTCCCAGACCCCCCACATAACAGCATGAGCAATTGTTTGCCAAAAAACCTTGTCTCTTTTACTAAGCCCTTTACCTTACCATTGCCAAAGGAACTCTAAAATGTGCTCAAGAGCAACCTAACTATAACTGATTAGGTTGAGAAAGTGATGCCAAATTTCCTAGTTACCTGACAGTGGATGAGTAGATGATTAGCTGACTCACCATCACTAAGGCAAAGGCTGCATACATGAGGAGAGGGATGTAATCTGCCTTTGTTCTTCTTCTGAAGGTGGTCGTAAGTGTTTATTCTCTTCAAACAAGCTTCCCATAGGAAGAAGCACACTATAGGAGGAATGTGAGGGACCCAAATTTCTTTGCTGGAAACTGAGAGGTGTTCTACGCACCTGCAATAAGAACCTTAGAAAAAGAAAAGAAACTTAGAAGAGAACTTGCTTGTGGGGTGAATGCAAAGGTCAATGTAAACTTTGTTGATTTCCACATCCCTTGGGAGTTTGAGGTTCAGGTTCCAGCTGTTTTGACTTTTGAGGAAGTGGGGGAATAACACAAAAGGAAATAAAGGCATCTTGGTTTAGGGTAAAGTTAAATAACCAAGGAAAAGAGGCTCTCAAAGTTGAGTCTCTCCACCTCAAATCAGTCCGAAGGCATCTTGGTTCCAGCTGTTTCAAGCTCAACTGTGAGCCAAGCTTCCTATAAAAAAAAATTATACATATAAAAATTATTTATTACCATACATATAAAAAATAAAAATATTACATGTATAATATTTATCATTATGCATATAAAAATTATTTTTATTTTATATATAAAAAATAAGAATCACAACAGTTATTTATTATTATACATAAAAAATAAAAAATGTTATATATATATAGCTGGAGTCGAGCCTATATATTGGGCTTGAACTCGGTTTAAACTGAGCCGAATCGAGCTTTTCATGAGCCGAGCTCGAATAGCTCATGAAAAGCTCGATTCTTTTCCACCCCTACGCCTCATGGTGTTTTCGGGGTGCCTTGCCTGGCATATGCCTCCCAGACCTTTTAAAACACTGGAAGAAACTCAAGAGTTGCTAAAGAGTCTTCAACTTGCTTTGTTAGGCTCCTCAAGGATGCAGATGCTTCTCATCCTGTCTAAATCTTTCCAATGACTTAAACGAATGTATCTTCTCCAAAAGTTCTCCCTGAGTTAAATAACCAGCATCCTTCCCCTTTTTGTGCGTTTGTGATCCCCTAAACTCCAAGTTTGAACCTTTAAAGCCTCTTGAATGAAGTTTCCCACCCATTTCACTTCCTCTCCTTTCAGGATAATCCTCGACCAGGCACCTTTACCTCTCTTTGTTATTTACCAACTCTCCTAATTGATCACCCATTGCTTACTCTAGTTCAAAAGTTTTAGAACCTATTGTCTCCAAACAATCCACCATAATTCAAAAGAAAAGGAAAAAGTGCATTACAAGAGAGAATCCTCAATCTAATCTAAACATATAGTAACAAAAATAACAAAATACGAAATGGCAAGTGACATATTTAATGAAGAAAAGATGGCTAAAAGGCTAAAAGGGAGACAAAGAGAAAGATAACTATTAAAATCTCTTGATTTTCTCCTATTTGATTTATACAATTCTTTGCTTTCGTTTTTTTGAGCCTTAAATGTGCAATTATACTTCTATTGATTCCTTCAAGTTTATCAACTAATTCCATGTTTCTAAAAAACTTTACTGATTTTTTAGAATTCCTAAATATCTTTGGCGAAATTAGCGAAATATCTCCAAGATTTCTCCATGTATACATGGCAAAATGTTCAATAATTTCAAAATTGCAAACCATGCTTGTGGACACATGTGGGTTGTGTCTTTGTGGGTAGCAGATCTGAGTTCACTAAAACTGAATCGACCACAACCCTGAGTCTAGGAAATAAAAACATTTGGAAAAAGGAAATAGAGAAGTGGGTGAACCCAAACCATGTTTCAAAATATTGATATGTATCAGTTTTCAGGGATACCAAAATGCTATATAATGCAAAGTAGGGAGATGTCTCTTGTTTTTACATTAATGGTGGTAAGATGGGCATTGCTTGAAACTTGAAAAAGAATATTGATGTTTTTATACATTTGATACTGAAGTGTCGAGTGTATTGAGACATTGAACCATGACCTGAATCCAAGCTGAGCCCAACCCTAAGACTTCAGGTTGGGGGTTCAATAACATGGGTTACACAAGGGTTGACCTCAACCCAACCTAATCAAGCCCCATTGCACCCCTAGTTCAAAGGGTCCTTTAGTTGTTTACATTTTAAACTCAAAACGTACAATGTGGATTGTGGTGCCTCCTCTTTTGTTTCTAAAATATCTTCCATTATGCATTAATTCTGTTTCATCAGTTTTTTCTTTTCCAGATATTATTCAACAAGAGAAACAAGTGGTTGGACAATCGGTTACACACTACCTCTTAGTTGCCATCATGGTTCTTTTACTGCAATGCCAGCTTCCTTGCCATTCATTGCCAGAATCCGAGGTTATTAACATAAACACAAGGCAATAGGATTTACTGCTGAATTTTCACTTGTGCCTCATATTTTGTGCCTTTATTTGTCTCGTTTTGGTAGCTATGGTATTAGATCTATCATAGATACACTATGTATAGATAATTAGATTTTACTGCCTCTTATAAGAAAACAAGGCACTAGCTTCCAAATATCAGCTATAAGAAAATGGGGCTGACCAACATCCCATCTTCTCATGGATTAATCTACGCCTGGATTCAGTTAGGGGATTGGGAGGAAAGCCCTTTTAGTATGTTTGTTTTCTACCAAATAAATCGGTATTTGGTATTGGGACTTCGAAGATTTTGTGCAGAAAACTGCATTTTGGAGTTGAAACTTGACTTGGTTGGAACTTGAATTATTGAACATTTCACTATCCCAAATTTGAAGTTTGAGATGACCTTTTTTTTTCCTGTCAGAGGTTTGCGATCACTACCCCAAATCAGAACTTGGAATGTTGTTGACTTGTTTTCTCTTTTTCACACTTAAATTTAGTGCTTTTCATTCTTTTATTTATGAAAAATATTTTTGGGACTCCAGAAACCTCCCCTATGATTTCTATAAATACTAAAAACGTTCCCTCAGCTTTCTGATAAGATGCTGTGTTCCCCTCTGACTGAAATGGCAGGACAAAAACCACCTTCACGCATTATTATCAAAATCTAATTACAGATGACATCAAAATTGTGCCAAAATCCTAATAATGCTCCTGTTTGGTTTGAAAGATCATCCAAAGAAAATGACGTGTTTTGCATGTACATCACCTATTTTCTAGCTTAAAAGATCAATCACCAAATACCCCTGTTAACTGCATGCCATCTAATAAATTTTGTCCATTGAAATTTAAGACATCAAACATTGGATTACATGCTAACCTCTAATTGGTCCAAATTTTACATGTGGCATAGTTAGAGGATAAACATCAATATGAATGGTTTTGATATTTCTTAAAGCTATTAATTTGACTATGCCGACAACCAGGTGACTCACCCAGAAGTGGAGCATTTTTGGTATTAGATTCAAAATATTCAAAGCCCCTGCAATAGAGATGGCAATTTACTATATTATATTACATAATATAAAATAATTTTAGGTAGGTTTCCAAAATATAAAAAATAGGGAAATTGTCTAAAATTCACCATGTCAGTAAGTTTTTTATTTTCCAAAGCCCACCTTATATTAGTACACTGTTAATGCTTCTTAACAGAGGTGTTTGTGTCAGCATAAATATCAACTTTCATGACCAAATTACCCTTGAATGGTGAGTTGGAGGAAAAATGGTCTTTTCAGTTTTCAATTTTCTTGTTTATTTTTTTTGCATTTTTAATGTTTTTTATAATTTCTGTTTTTTTTTTTACATATTTCTATTTTCTACAATCTATAAATTTTTGGTATTTTTTCTACAATTTTTATTTTCTGATTTTGTTTTACAATTTCTATAGTTTCTATAATTTGAAAATAATTTTTTATTTTGTTTGCAATTTCTATAATTTTTATATTTTTTTGTAATTTCTATGTTTTTATGTATTTTATATTTGAAAACATTTTTTTGAACTTTTTCTATTTTTCATGTCTAAATATTAAAATGGTAATATATTAACACCCATTGATTTACTTTGTATATATTTTATTTTTTTTATG